AGCCAGGGGCTGCCCACATGGGCCCAGGCTCGGTCAGCCTCATCCCCACCATGCTCAGCGCCTCCTGCTGCAAGGAACCCACCCTGGATTTCCCTCCCAGCCTGAGCAGCTGCCCTGGCATCACGGCCCGCGCTGTGGCCATGCTGAGAGTCACTGGATCCCTGTGACCAGGCCTCTGGCTGGGGAACGGCCCGGCACTCGGCTCCCAGTGACTCAGGCCAGCGTCTCATTAGCACTGAGCCCCCTGACCCCTCGCTGCCAGCGGGAAGGGGCCTTGCCGTGAATGGGAGTGCCCCGGGGGCCCGATCTCAGGCCCTTGCACACTGGAGATAACGGGGGCCCTAGTGTCCTGAGACCCCGGCCCTTCACTCCTAGCATGACAGGCTCTCTGGGGAAATAGACAGAACCATCCAATATTGCAGGAGCCGTGTCCGTTTCAGACCCACCCGCCGCCCCTCTCAGCCCTGAGCAAGGCCCATGAGAGGAGACTTCCCCAAACCGGCGCTCTGGGCTTGCACTGACCGAAGGCAACGTGATCCCTCGCCCAGAGCCCGGCTGGGTGTAGCCCGGCGCTCAGAGTGACGCGCCCTGCGGGGTTTAGGGAACTCGGCTGCTTTGAGCTCACTGCGCGAGTTACCACAAAAGGAAAGAGCGTCTCACGGGGGAAGTTGCAGAGCTGTGGGGCGGGTCATTTCTCTGCAGCCCCTCGGCACCATCAGGGATCGGCCACTCAGCAAACCCTGCCGGCCAACCCACTCCGGCTCTGTTGGGTCAGGACACCCGTTATACGGACTGACGGGCGCCCGCTCTGCCTGTCCCTCGCTGTCAGGATGGAGGGGGCTCGACGGCCTTCCCTTCTCTTGCTCCTGCTGGTTTTACAGCCCGGCGGTGAGTGATCTGTCTGAATTCCAGGGCAGGAAACAGCGTCCCCTGCAAACCCTGAGCCTGGATCCTCATCATCCTCGCCAGCAGCTGGGGGAAAGACCAGTGGGGAGCCACACGACCCTGAAGAGGCCAGAGTGGCCGGTGGAAGGGTCTGGGTAAGCCCTGAAGAGTTGGGGGAGTTGGGGGAGTGTAGACGACACTAGGACAGAAAAGGATGGGGGTGATTCTGGATAACAAAGGGAGAAACAGAGAAATGGGGGGGCTCTGGGGCAGGGAGACAGGAGGACTTAGGAAGGGGGAGGCAGGAGGAGATGAAGTGAGGTTGGGGACATGGAGCTAAGCCCTGGGAGGGGCGGAAGGGGGACTCCAGCGAAGTGGCCGTGTTGCAGTGGGTGATGCCTCTATCCCTGTGGGTGGTGGGGTGGTGCAGAGGGGCAGCGTTATTACTGCTGTCCAGGCGGTTGCTCAGGTTCCACATGGATTATTGCTTCTCCCCCCGCCCCCTCCACGCTCCCCACCCTCGGCACAGCGACTGCTGGGGACAACAATTTTCTGAGACTCTGATCTGCCCACTGAGCGGAACGGCCCCTCCCTGCACTTGCACGCCAGCTGGGCCCCGCACAGTGTGAGCCACGGGACAGGAGGAACCAGCCGGACCCTTTGGTCAAGACAAGCAACGGCTGAGATTTTCCAAGCCCACTGGGGAATGGAGCCCCATAAAGGGCTGATTCTCCATTGCCCAGGGTGTAGGGGGAGAACAAATATCAGAAGGTGGAGTAAAAAAAAAAAATCATGATTTAATCTTGTATAAGAACCTCATGATTTTTGGGGGGGGAGAAGGGGTCTGACTCCTGATTTTTGAACTGTTGGGGCTAGCGGTGCTGCAGATCACAATGTCGCCATTTCACCCTCGCTTTGCTCTGGGGGAAATGGCCCTACAAGGTGCAGAACTCCGGATCTCAGCCCTTCGTCATTTTCACTTTGCCTCTCCATTTCCTTCTGGTTCTGCACTTCTCAGTCAGTCCAGCTGTAACCACAGCTGCGGGGGGCTGAAACACCAACAGAAATGCCACTTTGGTCAGTTCCAGCCTGAGCAGCAGCTAGAAAGGGCAGGATGACGCCAGTCCCAGGGGAGAGGCACCCTAAGGGGCATGAATAGTTTGGAACGGGACCCTGGGGTGCTAGTTGCTTTACTCACCCATTTGAGGTTCCCCTGGCACCAGCGGGACCCAGCTGCTAGGGCATCTGGCAGATAATTTGCAACATGGAGACAGGGGCAAGACTATTTTTGTGATGGTGTCGGCAGCCTGACCCCTCAGGGCCCGGAGAAAGAGATGGGTGTGTGCGGACATTTGATAGATAGCATCAGCCATTCAATGGGCTGTAATGAAACCCCTGTAACAGCTGTAACCCACTCCAATACAGGGCGGGCCTTTGTCCCCCTCTAGTGGCAGCTCCACCTCAAAGGGTCAGAGCCTCCTACTGCTACCGGATCTCTATCCCCCAATAGTTGATGCGTTCAAAAGCCACAGCTGGATCCAAATCTGACCACTGGCCCCTCACTCGGCAATGGCCCAATCACAGCCCCAGGAATGGGGCCTGGCCATGGGGCGCTGGACACTATGATATGGGAGGGTTTGGGCCCAGCTCCATAGGAAATGGAACTACCCCCCACCCCCAGCCCAGGAACAGCAACCCCCTGGTTTTTGAGAGAACGTGTCACAAGGGCTGGGGAGGGGAACTGGCCTGGTGTCCCCGTGACGGGGCGTGTGGTCGACCTGGTGCTAAAGGCTCCTGTTCTCTCTCATGTGGCAGGGTCCGGCAGAGCAGAGGCAGGCGCGATGGAGCTGAGCGGGATTCTGGGAGGGTCGGTCACTTTCCCTCTGGAGATCCCAGCAGCAGAGCAATTCGAGATCGCTGCCTGGACTGTAAACACAAACAGTCTAGTAACTGTAACACCAGGGAAACCACCCAATGTCGTTCTGATAGACAAAAAAAATTACCACGGACGCCTGAGAATCCTTGACGAGAGCTACTCCCTACAGATCACCCACCTGCGGATGGAGGACACGGGACAATACAGAGCGGACGTAAACACGGATAAAGGCTCTGTTACCAAGCGCTTCACGCTGCGCGTGTACAGTAAGTGTGGGGCCGATGAACCCCGGGGGAAGCTGGAACCCGCCCTGCTCAGGAAGCTCCTCTGGGAGATCAAGGGCTGCAGGGTCCCAGCGTCTGTGCAGACCTCTCAGTGCGGCTGCTTCTCCTCCCCACCCCCGGCTCCTGTCCCTGCCACTCCCCCACACCCCAGCCCTGCCTTTCTGCTCCTCCTCTACAGCCCTTTCCCACTTGTCCTCTGCAGATACCTTCCCCCATCCCGGCTCCTACCCCATTGCTCCAGCCCCTTCCCCGAACACACACAGCCCTGGTCCATCAGAAACCCAATCTCCTCTTGGCATGTACGTTTCCTTCACCCACCCCAGCGTTTCATTGTTCGTCCATCTTCTCCAGGCCCCACTCTGATCGCCTCACCCCACAACTCCAGAGTGATCTTCACCACAACAGAGCTGGGCAGACAGAATTCCCACCCCGCAGGACATGCCGGTATTTCAACAGCGGTTTTCCTCCTGCATCAAGAGGAAAAGTGGAAAGAGCAAAAATGTTCACGGAACAAAACAGTTTGAAAATGTTCGATTCAGAAAGGAAAATTTTCAACATTTTCAATCAAAGCAAAAGTTTTGTTTCAAAGCTTTGATTGGTCACTCAGATGTTTCAACCGACTGTGCCAATAAAACGGTGCTTTGAGCAGAAATGTCAGTTCAAAATGAAACAGTTTGTCTCCAAATGTTGCTTTGGAAAATTAAAAAACTCCACTGAAATGGACGATTCCCCCTGGAAAATGTCATTGCAACAAACCCACATTTTCCAACAGAAAAAAATGTCATTGGAAACTTTTGATCACTTCAGACCCCCAACAAGCCTAGAGACTGGGCCTCCCTGCAACCCCCAACCCCCTAAATGATCCTTTCCTTCCATCTGCCCCCCACTTCCTAATAGTGACAGCATCACACTTCCCCACTGCCCATGCTCCAACCATGCTGCGAAGATGCAGAGAGCTCTCTGCGTCCTTCTTCCCCCAGCAGTTCCAAGCAGCAGCTAATGAGATGCTGCTGTGATTTCATCCTGATCCACGTTTCTCTGCACCCCTCTTAGAGCAAGTGCCAGAGCCAGCTGTCGTCTGTGACTCAGTGACCTGTGTGAATGAAACCTGTAACTACAACCTGAGCTGCACCGTCAGGGATGGAGGGGACAATGTGACCTACAGCTGCACTCACACAGCAGGGGGCGCTGTTGTACCCAATGAGTCCATTCTGCACATCTCTGTGAGCCCTGGGACCATCACCTGCACAGCCCAGAACCCCGCCAGTAACAGCTCCACAACGGCCTCTGCAAAGGACCTTTGTGCAGGTAACTCCCTCTGCAGGTTCGCGCTGCCCAGTGCTCACTCGGGGGGAGCTGGCATCGGTTCGCTGCCTTTGCACCAGTCCCAGGCCTTTGATCCCAAACGGAACCTGGCCCCCGCAGCCCCAGAAGCCACCTCGCTGCAGATTTTAGCCTGTAAACCTGCCAGGCAGGGAGCGGTTTGCTCTGGATTTGTCTGTGTCACCAGAGCAGCGTCGCAGGGTCAATGGGCAACAGCCTGGCCCCAAGGAGAGCCGTGCGCAGGCTGAGATATTGGGGGGGGGACCCCGAGAAGTTTAGTTATTAAACACGCCTGATCTCAAACACTGAGTCACTTAAGGAGCCACATCAGCCCCTCCATCCCCTGCCCTGGCTCTGAGAAGGCTCCTACCTGGGAGGTAGCGGGGGAGGGGCAGGAACATCAGCGCAGGCGGCCCCAGGGAGGGGTCACAGCCCCGCCCTGCGCAGGTGTGATGAGCTGCTCACGGGTGGGGGGCGTAGGGAGGAGCCGGCGGAGCGAGGGGCTCAGAGTGGGGATCCAAGGGGCTGTTTTGGGCGCATCAGAGCCCTCTGGGCCCTGCTCTGGGGACGGGGGGGCTCCTGTGCCTGGGGGCCGGATGTGGCCTCTGACCCCCATTTCCCAGGGGGGACACCGGAGCCGGCTCCAGGTTTTTTGCTGCTGAAGCAAAAAAGAACCCACCGGAGTACCGCCGTCGAAGTGCCACCCCAAGGGGCCGGGGTGCCGCCCCTTGAAAAGTGCTGCCCCAAGCACATGCTTGGAACGCTGGTGCCTAGAGCTGGCCCTGACCGGAGCTGAGGTCAGCGGGGCCCGGCCCAGACTCAGCCCTGTTTGCACAGCGTCTCCTCCTGCCCCGTATG